GGGGGTGTGGTCAGGAATTTTAAAAGTTGCACAAGATATATATTTTTGTAACAACGGTCTGCACCTATTTTTTGTTTTGTTTTGTTTTTGTTCAATCTTTCCGACCGCTTATTCAAATGAGACTGGTTAATAATTAATATTCTGTTATGGGTTTCCTGTGTTTTGGACACGTGGTTTATTGGGATGTCCGGTCAACCTAAAAAAAAACTAGACAACAGAACCATTATTATTGACACGGATTACTGCATCTCCACGAACCTTTATGATTCTAAACACCACAGAGACAGCCAATTAATTGGGATGGAAACTTCGCAAGTAAAGTATGGCTGGGGTTCCTTCCGACCAAAGCTTCTTCAAAGACTCAACAGTCCGAAATGGTTTCTATTTTTCGTGACTTCCGCTTCACTTCTCTCAGGTATCCGTTTAAATTATTCAATCTATTCCTGTATTCCTCTATTTTTATCCCTCTCAGATTTAGCCTCTAATTCATAGGTCTTGGGTATATTAATAGTAGAAAAATGAGCTGAATTCRCTGGGGATTGCTTGTTTCGCTACTGAAGTAAAGCCAACATGATAGAAAGCTTTCGCTTCAGATCACAAAAATCTTAAGATCTTAAACCGTAGTATAGTGGCTAATATTTGTTAGCTTTATTCATTATGTCCTACCCGAGAAATAATTTTTAAAATGTCAGGTTACGAAAGCGGAATTTTTTCAGTCCAGACTCGCTTATAATTTGACTGTCGAAGGTCAAAATATTATTCATTGTTCAAAAGCAGCTTGGAGTAGATTTCTCTTTTCCTGTTTATAGTTTAAAAATACCTTACATTATGTCTTACCCGAGAAATAATTTTTTAAAATTTCAGTTTAGCAAAGGGTATTTTTTCAGTCCAGACTCGCTTATAATTTGACTGTCGAAGGTCAAAATATTATTCATTGTTCAAAAGCAGCTTGGAGTAGATTTAAAAATACCTTACAGTAAATGTGACCTAAAAAGAGAACTTTCTAAAAGTACGACTCTTTCGGTCCTAATATGAATTTCTTTTGAGGTAATGGGATCAAATTTTAAAGCAAAATTTTACTTCAACAACCAAACTTAAATCCATGTATTGTTCGTAAATTATTATGTTTTGATTTCTAATAGGTATAGTACAAATAGGCATTCGTGTTATTATTCTGCCATCCATTGAACGGCGCTACCATCTTTCTAGTAAAGAAATAGGAGCTTTGTCAGCCGTGGGGAATATTGCAGGACTTGTAGCAACTATACTAACAAGTTATATAGGAGGGTACGGTAACAAGGCAAAATGGATAGGCTGTGGACTTTTTGTGAAAGGTAAGTAAGCTCAATAAAGTTTTACTAAAAAAGCATGGTGAATACTTTAAATGTGAGAAAGCAAAGTTACCAAATTATTTTTTATGGTACCTATTTGGCAAAAGAATTTTATTTTCGCACAAGATTGTTTTCTAGTTTTGACACTTGATACTTATTCGATTTTCTAAAAGGCTTTGTTCACACTATACAGGATAGCAATCGTTTCGGCTCAAAAAGAATACCGGATAGGCCTTCTGTTCACGCATGGAGCGCTTGTTTTTGAAGTGATTTTTGTATTGGATAGGTTTTTGTGACGATAGTGCAGTATGAACATTATCCGATCCGGTATGTAGCCGGAAGTTTAAGTGGTTTGAGTAAAGAGAGGGAGTTGGAAGTATCAGCTGTCGACAAAATGCTGGCTCATTCTCCATTTCACGCCTGTTCACATTGGGACCACCTGCATTGGCACCGGGTATAACCATGTGCCGTTTTTAAAAAGCTATCCGGTATAGTGTGAACATAGCCTAAGGTCCCTTTTTTCCTGTTGAAAACAAACTTCTCAGCACGTTATAAATCCTATTTATTCAATAAAAGCTTGTGAATAGTCTTGAATAAAAGTTCAAGCTTTATATTTTTACTGATATATTTCGCTCAAAAGGTCTTGAGTCAGATGTCAGATCGTCATAGGTATTCGTGAATTTCTGACGCCGCTGAAACGGGGTTAACCTTGAGTGAATCATAATGGAAATCTTTTTTGAAGGATTTTTTACTTGCGTGTCAGATCGTCATAGGTATTCGTGAATTTCTGACGCCGCTGAAACCGGGTTAACCTTGAGTGAATCAATTCGAAAATGGTCTAATACCCCGATACACGTTCGCTCAGTTTCGCCATACAGACAGACAGACAGACAGACAGACTTTTTTATTCGGTATCGAGTATTAGAATATACATTGACATTTTACCCGAATAAATGTATGAAGGCTATAATTGTTGATTTATAGTAATTTCTATTATGTTAAAAGAATTCGCCTATATTTAACCTATCTAGTATAGTTACTATTTAGTGCCTAGTTTGGGTAAGAAGACCACATACTATATTAATTCTGTATTGTATGTGATCTTTTTATGAAACAGTTGTGGACATATTTTGCTACTGCTACTGCTATCATTTTGGGTGGACTCATAAATAGCAGAAACAGCTCATTCTCATTTAACAAAAGAGAATCATTGTTTATGTTATTTATGTCCTTGAAGAGTTCTTCCCTTAGATTTGA